CTTTTCACGGATGATGAGAGTGAACCCTGGCCGAGGCAGGATTACAAGACACGCGATATCGAGTTTTCCTGCCTCTTCAACACTTAGATTCAAACAGCGAAGCAGGACAACTCTTTTATCGGGCGCGGCACCTCATAAGTGCGGCATATTACGACTGTCTTATCACGAATCCGTCAGAAGGTGCAGCCGGACCCGCTCTTCGCTGCATTTCCATATGCTATTTCATCCAAAAGAAATAAAATTCCCAGCAATGGTAGCCGTGTTTAGCCATGAAACAACCAGTGGTAGAAAACGCCGTGGGCACGCTCATTTGCCCCTCCTGAGACCGCCCCGTAGAATTGCGACGATATCAACTGTAGGAACATGGGTTTCAAGGCACGTCGTATCCTGGGTATCTCCAGCGAATGGGCTCGTATCTGGTCGCTGGAGCGAGGGATGTCGTATCAGCCCTTGTGAAAGATATTTTCGGTTGTTGACTTTTATCGGTTTTTCCCATTTTACATGCATTTTGTGCCTCCCCCATCCTCGCTCGACGGCAGTTTTTTCAGAAAGACTGAAATTTTTTGAAAGGAAATTTTGAAACAGTGGTAGAAAGTTGGGAGACTTTAGGAAGATGATACATCCTTATTCGCTGCGGATAAAGGGGGTGTCTGGAGGGTGGATTTGGCGCGATGCTAAATCAGTTTTCCACCACTTGTTTGAGCGAGCAAGATAGAAGACTGTATCATCTCGTTCGTATCAGTCGTTTTCCACCAATTTTGCCGCTTATCCGCTTCAACAATTTTTAGAGAAGAGGTTTAGCGCCGCATCAAATCCATCCCGCCGAACCCGCCCCTTCATCCGCAGCGAGCGAGACTGTAGACAGTATGGGGGTGAGGAAAAGAATCGTCGCTCCGAGGAGGGATATTTCAGGAGGGGGGGGGGCATCGTATTCGACAAGATTTTCCCTGACGGCAGAAGATGCTGTTATTAGTTGACTCATCGTGTCCGCAATCCGTGCTATACGGTCAAAATATGCGCTAACAAAGCTGCATTACGGAAGTTGTTGAATCGTTTTGTTTTTCACTTCACTTCTCTATGTTTTCTGATTTTCACTCTCTGTTTCTCTAAAATTTTGGAGGGTTCTCTATGTTATTATTCCCTAGTTATTTGTTTGTTTATTTATCATCTAGTCATTTTCTTATTTAACACTTCTGTCGCATTACAGCTGCTGTCTTGCCGCTCTTGATGAATCCAGAGCAGATCCCGACAAAGAATGGAGTCTCATACGAAGATCTGGACCGAGATTTCCCGTCTCTGGAAAATCAAGCTAAGGGTAAGCGTTCCTACCTTCCGGTCGCTTCTTTCCTTTATTACGTTTTATTTATTTCTTATTTTGCGCAATTGTTTCATCACTTCTGAAACGAAGGCGGCTTGTTAGCAGTATAGTTAAAGACGACTATTACATATAGTACGGCTTTTTGCGAGCTTATATCACCTGAAAGTCTTTCAGGATCATCTTCAGGCGTCGAGTTAAGTGTACTCACCTTGAATGTGTGGTGCCTCCCTCAACCATGGCCTGTTGGCAGCAAAGATCGGAAGTATCGCTTGAAAAAACTTGCGGATGCCATATTGGAGGAGAAATACGATATTGTAGGATTGCAGGTAGCTTCTCGTTCAAGTCCATCTTCCCTTTTGTAGGCTGACATTCATCATCTTCTTTTTCTCACTAGCTTAATCCCGCGCAGTCGCGGGGTCTACAGGCATTGGACGGGTGTTACTTTGTTTCATGAGATCAGCGACCCCTCCAAACTCTCCGGTCACCAGTTCCACGTCAGAGTGCCAATTCGAACTAGCTTTGGCCGAGTTCGTTCAACCCTAGGCCCTCGCATACTGACCACAGAACTCGGGCAAAGGTATACAAGGTCTTTGCCTCGGAGGGGATCAAACTCGCGGCCTTGTTTAGAGTGGTGCGGACATGAGTCTACATACACTCCTTACCCCTGAGCCAGAGTAGGCGTGGCATTTGAACATGGCGCTTGGTTTCTCGTGGAATATTCCAGTCTGGGACAACTGTCATCTTGTTCTGTGTTGGACAGAGACACGACAACAATTGTGTCAAGATGAAAATATCTCACCAGAAGCATAGACACCTTCAGGTTAAGTTGAAACATGCGGCCACGCCTACCCGATCTCAGGGATTTCGAGTATAGCTATCCGCTTGGCCCTCAATTTCATGAAAACCGTTCCAGAGCATATTCTGAGTTGTTGCCTGAGCCTGCACTGTAGGAAAACAAGTGTTGACTTAGTTGAGTAGCGGCTCGCCTCTATGGGAATTTCGTCGTCAGCGCTTTCCTAAGCCTGATCCTTGGGCAAGGGAGGGACGTTA